AGGTGGGCGGAGCACAAGGTCAGGAGATCGAGACCATCCTAGCTAACTCGGTGAAACACCGTCTCTACTAAAAATACAAAAAATTAGCCGGGCGTGGTGGCTGGCGCCTGTAGTTCTAGCTACTCGGGAGGCTGAGGCAGGAGAATGGCGTGAACTCGGGAGGCAGAGCTTGCAGTGAGCCTAGATCGCGCCACTGCACTCCAGCCTGGGCAACAGAGCGAGACTGTGTCTCAAAAAAAAGAATGTCTAGTGATACCTGGCAATAAAGACTTGTTTTTAACTTGTGAACTTAATTTTTTAAGGAACTCAAGACGGCAACTTCCAAGTTTTCTTCCACAGTATCCAATCCCAGATAGACTTAGAAAATGTGTGGAACAAAAAATTGACATCCTGACTTTCCAGCCATTACTTGCAGAGGTAGGAAGTGTCTGATGGCCTGTGGGATGTTTGCATCTTCTAATGCTCTTGTTTTCTGACAAAGCCAGGAGGTTCCTTCTCAGGTTCAGACCTTCATCTGGCTCATTTTCTTCACAGGTAGCTGAGATAACGAGGGTCACTGTCTGGTCCTGAGGCACACTGCCAGACCTGCTATGCTTCAGGGGCTGGCATCCCACAGCTTCACTGGGAGTCACGCACAGGGCCTTTGGGGTCTGGAGCAGAAGAACTCAGGGATACCTGTGCCATCAACTCAGCCTCTCTCATTAGACTAGGAGGCCTTTGTTATGAGCAAGAAGCATTCCAGCCTCTTAACATCACCCTGACAGAGCCAGCAGGGCAAGGGTCCAGGGGAGGAGAGCCCAGGTCCCCACCCATATGAGAGACAGAGGAGCATGTTCTGAGTGAGGTGTCTGGAGAAGAAAAGTCCAAGAAGGATGAAAAGTCTATGAAATTTGACAGTTTGAGGGGAGAACATTGCCCTTTGTCCAGGAGGGTTTTTTTCTGTAGGTCTTTGAGGTGTTCTGAGAGTCCCCAGCTAAACTGGAGCTCCAGTGCCAGAGCAACTGGCAGCCCTGTCCTGAGGAGAATGAAGGGAACGGGACCTGGGTGTTCACCATGCACCCTTCAGGGGATACTTGTTTTACCAGGAGGACAGGTTGATGCCCCATGACCAGGGGTTCCTCACACAGGAAACTAACTTATTCTGGCAGACGCCCTAGTGGCTCTCGTCTGACCTGTGTCCAGGTTATGCCTGCCTGACCATCTGGCACTGGGAGCTCAATCTTATGTTCCTCAATGCCAGGGAAAACCCGGCCTGGGCAGCGCTGGGTTCTTGGGTTGGAAGGTGCAATTCAATCCATTGCCATGATAGAAACAAGTTCAGATATGTTTTACTCACAGATCCTGGGCAGAGAGGATGCCATGAGTCGGGAGTGCAGTCCTCTCTCCCCTAGTCATTTTGAGTTTGCAGGCAAATGCCTGAATGGTTCATTGAAAGAAAGTGGCAGAAAAAGCTGGACCTGGATCTGCTGGGATGGGGAGGTGCTCCTCAGCTCCTCCCTTGGGACCCAGGTCTGCTGGGCTTGGAGGGTGCTCCTCAGTTCCTTCCTCAGGCCACCAACTTGATGTTTTGATGCTGCAGCTTTGTAGTAAGTTTTGAAATCAGGAAATTTGAGTCCTCCAGCTTTGTTGTTCTTTGGGAAAATTTATTTTGCTTTTCAAGATCTTTCATATGAATTTTAAGATGCTTTTTTCTGTTTCTGCAAAATACACCATTGGAATTTTTTTCCCCAGAGACGAAGTCTCACTACATTGCCCAGGCTGGTCTCAGACTCCTGGCCTCAAGTATTCCTCCCCTCTTAGACCCCCAAAGTGCTTGGGATTACAGGTGTGAGCCACTGCACCTGGCCTGTCATTGGAATTTTAATGGGAATTGCATTGAATCTGTAGATTGCGTTGGTTAGTATGGACATTTTAACAATATTGAATCCTCCAGGCTATGAACATGGAATATGTTAACATTTATTTATGTCTTCTTTAATTTCTTACAGCAGTGTTTTGTCATTTTCTTTGTATATGTTTTTCACTTCTTTGGTTAAATTAATTTGTAAGTATTTTATTCTTTTTGCTGCTGTTGTAAATACATTGCTCTCATAGCTTACTTTTCAGATTCTTCATTGTTGTTTAGAAATGAAGATACTTTTTGTCCTTTGATTTTGTACCCTGTTACTTTGCTGAATTTATTTATTCTAACAGCTTTTTGTGGAATCTTTTAGAGTTTTCTACGTATAAAATTACGCCATCTGCAAACATATAATTTTACTTTTTCTTTTTCAATTTAGATGCCTTTCATTTCCTTTTCTTGCCTAATTACTCTGGCTAGAACTTCTAGTACCATGTTGAATAGGAGTGGTGAAAGCAGGCATCCTTCTCTTGGAAGTTCCTAATCTTATGGGAAAAGCTTTCAATCTTTCACCATTGAGTATGATGTTAACAGTGGGTTTTTCGGC